CAGCCATAAGTCTGTTGCTCAGTCGGTCCACACCCAATTATGACACTTGCTTAGATGGGTTGACATGAAAAGCACATCTGAAGCACAGACTATTCAAAAATCCGAATTTGACCCAAATGTTTTTTTCTGTTTTAGGACAAGGAATCATTTGTTTTGGCAAATGTTCACTCTGGTTGACTGCCCCAGCTCGGTGAAAGAGAAGTACACATCCGCTTCCCAGCTCCTTTCTATGGGACTTTCCGGATCTGTCTCCCACGCAGTGAATGAGACAAGGCTGCACAGAGCCACCAACTAACTAACAAAATTGAACTGAACTGATTTGTATCATTTGAGCCATATGTGTGCACACAAACATTCAGATGCACTGATGAGAGACTCTGCAGATCTATTTATGGATTTATTGCCGAGTAACTCTTGTCCCTATAGAAGACACCAGCCAATCATTTTCACTGTGTCAAATGACGAATCTGTCTCTCCCTCTCTGTCATTGGCTGTTTCCTGCACAGCAACAAGTCAGTCTGTGTTCCAGCTCCGGCCTAGTTCCAGCTGGCCAAACTATTTACGCTACCAGGCATAAACACTTGAGACTGGGGATGAAATTGGATTTATTGCTCTAGCCGGACCAATTGTTTGGTATCTGATGTCACACAAAGCTGTTGCTGTGATTGGTCCATTCCAAAAGTATGAATTATTATGATTGTGTTGCCTAATAATCAAGAGGATCGAGTTTTGCTCATGGCTGCTGTTAATCTCTGAGAGCAACATGGTCCGCAGATATACTAGATGCTCGCTCGTTTTCCTGAAACACAAATACACACAGCACAAATACACACACAGCACAAATACACAAATGTGCGCATGCATGCCCACACGCTCTTTTTTTTCTCATCTCTCTCTGTCTCTCTCTTTTACACCCACACACAAACAAACACACACATCTCTGTTTCTCACAGTCTAGTCTTTCTGTTGTTTGATTTACTCTGTGAACTCTGACCCTTGCTGGGCTGAGCTGGATGGACTCTTGGCCCTGCTGCTGCTCCAACCAGTTAATTTACCGCATAACCCAAATGGAACTGCGTGCCTGCATTTTTTCATTCTGGTTGAAAAATCACAATTTGTTACCTTAATTTTTTCTCTTCAGACATATTATTATCTCATATTTCTTTATTATTGCCTTTGTGTCTGTTAAGATCCTGCACCTGAACTACCTGCTGCTTCTATACAAGAGCTGAACAAAATGAAGTCATCTTTATGAACCTCAGTCTGCACAAACGAAAACCGCTTGTTCGTGTTACACCCATCATTTCAGAGTTTTACAAGCCGCTGAAGGACCTTTTGTTGTAATTCATTTCCTGTTGTGAAGCTCAAATCAATTAAAGACGGCAGCAGCGATGTGACTCCATCTGACCTTGGTCTGTGAAAACCCCCCACATAAGCCTGTGAGCAGCATGGTGAGAAAGCAAAGAGTTGTGGTCATTTAAACACAAGATCATAAAAGCATCTTAAACAGAAGAAATATTGTAGTAATTTGCGAATTAATTTCCTTGTATGGTTCTTTTTAAACTAAAAACTAAAATAATTAAAACAACTTACGATATGTAACTTTGTCCACTAGTCAATCAAAACAATAACCAACGATCTAGTTTGATGATGCTGTGTAGCAGCGTGGGAAACGGGCAAATCCACAGTTAAAGCAGATATAATGCAATTAAAAAGTGACCAAAATGAAACATCCCGTTACCATTAATAAAATTGAGGATTTCACTGACTTTGTATATCTTTGCAAACATTATGGATAATGTAAATGCAAAGTTAACAAAATATATATCATAGGTTGAGTTGTTTGTTGACATTTTAATGAAGAATTGTTATGTATGTCCAGTTTAGCACTTTGGCTTGCTTGTTTTTCACACAACTCAACTTCAGATCTCCAAAGCGTTGATTCTCCATGGTGGCCGACCGAAATAGTTTAATTTAGGAACTTATATCCCTTGAGTTCCAACCTTTAATTTGGCCCTAACGGAGCCCTCAGCACAATGCAGATCCTTGTCATGGTCCGTATGTCTTGTCTCTCCATGCATGTCTGAAAAGCTAAAAGAAAACATATAGTATCGTCCTTAAATAAGTAAATCTGCAGTAAATAAACCTGTCAGCACTTCTTTGAACAGATGAATGAGAAAGGGATCTTTATTTTCTACATTCCTTTGATGGCTCTTCTTAAAGTCATAGCTGTGGTATTTTGCTAAAAGTCTCATCTCAGAAGGCGGTCCATCGCTTTGAGTTTTTAAACAGATGTGGGATCCCCACTGTTTCCTGCCTGACACATACAGTCTGAAAATATTGAGTTATGAGAGGCAATCAATGTGGGTTATGACTTCTTAAGGCATTTTTTTGTGAAATACACTTAAGCCATCTTGCTGAGTTTAAGATGAGAAGATAGGATACCAGCATATTTACCATATGGTAAGAATGTGGCAGCAGAGGCTCAGACTACAGCAACAATATCCATGTTGGCCTGATGCATTTAACAGTTAAGAAATAAAGTGGTTCAGTTTGGCAACTCATAGCTGAGTTCCTGTTTCCACTCTCTGTGCAAAGCTGAGCTAATGGCCTGTAGCTTCACATTTAGCACTCAGGCATAAACAATAGGGGAGGAAGTACTCAGACATTTCACTGTACAGATAAATAGACAGTACTCAAGTAAGGGTGTTTTCACACCTGAACATCAAGGTCTTTGTTGCTTTGTATAAATTTGATCCGGTTTTGGTTTCCCGTTGTAATTTAGGCAGCGCACAAAAGAAAATTGCATGACAAATTCTGACATCATCACCCTGACATTGATCAGTTTGTTGATAGGCCTGCGCCAAGAACCTGCTCTTTTTGTAATATCATCATGGTATTACTAACGACAACACGGTTCAAAGGTTCAAAGGTTTTATTTGTCATCTGCACAACAGATACAGCGTACATGTTGGCAATGAAAATCTTAAATCCCAGGCACCTCAAGCAACTCACCATGTAATAGTGTCAGAAAATAAGAGTAACTAAAAATACAAATACCAATACACTAGTGCAAATAAACAATAAAGTACAAATGTCATTAACTAGTGCAAAAAAAAAAAAACATTATAAGGTGCCAATAAACATTATAATAAAAAAATTATAAGGTGCCAGAGTGAAATATATACATGTGCAGTCAGGATTTAGCAGAAGTTATGGGGAGGTATGACCAGATTTGAATTATTGCACTCATTATATTTTTATGTAAGGTTAGAAATATGATGAATAGAAAGATATGACAGAATGAGAATTCTTGCTAACTAAATAAATAAATATAGTTCTTTGTGTGTATGAATAATATAATGTATAAATAAAGAGATGAAGAGACTGCAAGCAATCGTCCTTTATTCTTCTTTAGCTCAATGCTGTCTTAGATTCTTGCAATTGGTCTAATGTCTGAACTATCCACAAAAGGGCTTTCACCCTACAAACAGACAGAGCCATGGTTCAATTTGATCCAGACCGAGAACACTACATTTTCAGCCGTCGGTCCAGATTGTGTCTCTCAGTGGGTTTCACAAAAATAAATACTTAACTTTCAAAGTCATACATTTGGATGTTTTATCATTTTTAATGGCTGGATTTAGGATGAATTAATACTTAAAACTCTGTCAGAACTGACACCTGATACATTAATCATCGTGTATTTTCAGTCACATTGAGATCACATTGTTCCAGGACATTTTAATTGAAACCCAGTAGACGGAACAGCTCTTCCGTTTCTAAGATGTTCTCTGTCTGTGAGTCCTATAAAAACTGCAGTGACACACTTCCCTGACTCATCCCACCTGTTCAGACATTATTACTTTAAAGTACCATAGTAACACACGTCCTAAGCTGCCTGAGTTATTGGGTTAGCTCTTCTCCTTGTTGTGCAACACAACTCAATCCCTCGCTCTCAGTTCCTTTCCTAAGCCCTTGATAAGGAAGTGGACAGAATTTTCTTCTTTTTTTGTGTCCTTTCCAGCGAGACTGACCTAAAAGGCAGAAGGGGGGAGGTATGTGTTACAGTACAATAGCCGGTAAATCTCTCGGCAGCAACCACACCACAGCACTGAGTACATGCTTATAGAGGAAGGCTAATCAGCTTTCTGCAGATGGGTAAATGTCCTTACAGTGGCTGAGAGGGGGGGGCTATATTTAGTGTCCACTCTCTCCCTCTTAACAGGGGATAACACTGGCCCTCTCTGTAGCTCATCTCTCTCTCTTTCTCTCTGCTTATATTCATCATGTGGGCAGAGAGAAAGGGAAATACGGATGATGAGAATAAAAAAAATCTGAGCACATAGATGATATGAAGCTGTGTATTCACCTTACAGCACAGATAGGAGTGACAAAAAAAACTAAAATCCTTGTTTTGGTCAAAGGAGTAAGGTTAAAAGCAAAGATGAAGAGAAGTGTGATGGAGAGAAGAAAGAGATCATGAGAGAGAGAGAGAGAGAGAGACTAAGTAAAATATTTATTCTTAGTGTCGGCAGGGAAAGTGACATCTGGAGGCTGAGGCCTGCGGGCATTAAGAGTGATGCAGATCTGCAGCCAGTCTGCTCAGTCCATTACCATGTGTCCCTGGAGACCAGTGCTCAGCTGGTAGTAAGGTGTTCGCATATACCTGCTGTCCAAGTTCACTCCTGGCTAATGAGGTCTGGCAAACAGCGTGATGACGGTAGCTGGCGGTTATTGACGTCTCTCGAAGGGGAAATCCGTCACGTTCTGCTGTAACTCGTTGGCAGCAGCTATTGTACCCTCTGGGATTGCGCGGGCACCTCAGGACGTTGACCAGATGAAAACTTCCGCCTGTCTGCCAAAGCCCGGGCACCAGAACTAAATGCCAGAGCTATTTACCTCATGTAAACCGAGGTTTACTGAGGTGAAGCATCCAGGAATCGTCATGTAAGGTGAGCGTGACAATGATGGGAAAAAACCACTGAAGCAAAGAACGGTTGTGTGATGGTCTTTTTTGTTTTTAATTATCAAGTCGAAAAACTTTGCAACACAATTATCAGATCATTATTTCCATGTCCAAACAGGACAGCAGTTTAAAATCACATGTACACAACTGTGACACAATCTCTTTGGAGCAACAGAAAAATTCATATGAAACAGTTCAGAGCACAAAGTCAAATCTGCATCTCAGTTTAAACACAGTGTCCACCCGCGCTGCTCCGCCTCACACGAAGTAAAACACAGATTTCCCCCACACCACGAAGAAAAACAAAACAATCCTTGACTCAATGACACAGCCCTTGAATCTGCCTGCTACAACCAGCCAAACACAAACTGTACAAAAATAGAGATCGATAGAAAAATAAGAGCTCTGATTGAACATGTCTGAGAGAATATACTGAGTCTCTTTCACTTTGAAAGCTGAGAAAAATCCTAGCTCAACTTATTGCCACTCAATTATCCATGTGATTGTCTGTTACCTGTAATCATTTTTTATGTGGTGCTCTTCCATGCTAAGAAGAGATTTAAATTGACAATTCCAACGAGTCAAATTGTAATGTTTTCAGAAAAGTCAGGATAAACACTGACCAATGTTAATTGTGCTTCTTACACCTCTGAAGCTTTTGTATCTGTTGGGTCCTTGGCAGTTTTAAGCTTGTACATTGCTGAAACACACACAATCCAAACTCCACCCCTCTTACAAACACACATCTGCATCACTGTCAGCTCTGCAGATATTTGCAGATGCCGCTACAGGAGATACATATCCTGAAAACAGCTTGTACACATGGAAAGCAATCATTTTTTCTATTACAGTGAATATCAAAATGCCTTTGTACACAAAATATGGAGAAATTTACCATTCTATTTATTTGATTTAAAAAGATGGGATGTAATGTAACATATAATCATATTTTTGTATCGTTTTGATTATACTAAAACTTTAATTTGTAATTTCCGAAAAGTTTCAAAAAACTGTTTCAAAATACAATTTCAAATGAGTTGCACATCTAATTTACTTTCTGTTTTAGATGCATTCGAAACTTAAAGGTGTCCTGTAGAGTTTTTGACCACTAGTAGCGCTATGGAGTATTGCAGTAAGTGAGTCCCCATTTCATTTGTATCGTGCTCCAAGGATTCACATGCACATATTGAACCAAACAGGGCATATTTATATCCCTCAATCAGCTTCACTCTGATCCACTGATGTCTGGTGATGCACAAGGAAAAATACCCCAAATGTGGGATTGTAAAACAATGCATGTTTTAAAATATCGAAAACTAATATATCCACCCAACAATTACTTTTTGACCTTGAGGATAAAACCTAACTTTATATAGTGTTATCGATCTGAACTCCACAGGGCACCTTTAAGAAAGGATGAGTAGCATATTTCAAGGCAATTTATTAATGTGCATTTTACCTTGCAACATTTCAGCATGTAGCATGTGTGCATGTTGATAGACACTTTTTAAGAATTACAGTTGTTGAAATAGTAAATCAAAATGAGACAAACTCCTCTCTGGGATAAGTTGCATGTTATGTTGTCAGGCTGTGTGCTGGTCCATTTTACTGTATGTTGCAACAGAAAAGGGCAGTTTATTTTCTCCCGTAACGAAACTGTTTCTCCCACAAGTACAATCTACTTTACTTTAACAAGCATTTTTTTATCCCCACCCTCCCCCTCTCTATCCACCACCTCCAGTCTACCGCCCCTTCTTTCTATAGTTGATGAGATTATGTTGTTACTTCCTCTTTGGTAATCAGGATGTGCGTTCGTCTAGCAGGACCGCAGATAAGAGACAGCTTTAGCGAAACATTGTCAAAAAAGATAAAAAGGAAAAAAAGTTGAGGAAGATACATTTCTCAGTGTAAGAGACCCTTACTCAGCTATTGGTAAACTCTCACAATACATTCATCTTTATCAGGGGTCATCATTGCTCGTCACTGAGACAACTCAGCGGCTCTCCGCAACCACGATAACTGTCTCTTCCCTTTGGGCTTTGTCGAGGCACTTAAAGAAACTTATTCCTGTACAGGAATAAAGCATGCATTGTTTTGTTGTTTTTCAGTTCAGACAGAACTTGAGTGTCGAAGTAGATCTTTGGATTTGTAAACAGTATCAGTTCCTTTTTTTTGCATGGTCCGCCTCCTCCCCCCCACATACACACACACACGCCCACACACAAAGAGCAGAGCACATGTAAAAGGTCAAAGTGTTGCTGTTGTTGGATCAAGAATCAATATCTTCATTGCATCATGTTCAATATCTTCAATGCATCGTGTGCGTGTGTCTGTTCCTCTCCATGGCTGCCGCCTGTAAATGTGAGGGTCTGGTTTCTGTTTCTGTGTATTGAGTTCGTAGGAGGAAAATATCTTTAGATCCAGGGTGTCGATGACTCTGAGGCTCGACTTGTGGTCTTTTCCATCAAATCGATCTTGGCCCTGATGAAAGAACCATGAAACTGATGGTCAGCCTCTGTCATTGGCATCTCTCCCAGTGTGCTCAGCTCCTTCGTACTGTGGCACCGTACTGCAGGGAAAAGCCTTTCTCTGGCCCACTGTCTTCCCTTCTTTACTTTATTCTCTTCTTTAATCTGCGCCTTAATGTCTGTTTAAATTTGTCTCCAGCATTTGCTCCTCTCATTTCCCTCAGTTTCCCATCTTATGGAAGAGATAAAAACGTCATCATTTACCCCTTTTAATTGGACATGTGTTCCACCAGCTACACAAAAAGCATAGATGCTCACAAGGTTTAGTTACAGGGCAACCAGGTGGCGTACATGGGATGTGCAGGAGTAAGATACGGATGATGAGGAGGCGAGGGTGGACAGGCGTAGACAGGCTGAATCTGCGCTACATAATAGTTGCTGAAGTTGCCATCGGAGACATAAGGGGCAGGCTGATAGAAGCAGGTGACATTGGCAGCATTGGGAATGGCATTCTGCTCAGCCAGGACCCGCAGCGCCAGTGACGAGATGAGGCTGAGCGTCTGGCGCCTCTCGTGGCCCATCAGGCACACCGTGCTCTCCTGTACCACGTCGTACAGCGTGGCCAGGTAGTCATACTTCCTGTCCTCCAGGTCCACAAAATGGTTCTGCAGGTAGGACTCCAGCTTCCTCCTCTGCTCGCCCACGTCGGGAAAGTCTATGAAGAACCGCGAGCACATGTAGCGCTGCAGCAGTTTCATCTCGCCTTCTGATGCTGCACGGAAACCTCGCACCAGGAGGTGGCAGTACTTGAGTAAGCCCCCTCCTCGGATCTCTTCGGGACTCCGTGTGCAGATGAGGCGCTTACGCAGGTGATCGAGGGCAGTGGGGAAGTCGCCGTAGACGCTCTCCCCAAGGATTGTGGGGTGGAAGGTGGCAGCCATCGGGTGCTCTGAGCACTCGTAGAAGAGGAGGAGCGAGTCCAGCCGGATCTGGAAGGAGTCCACGCTGAACTCAAACTGCCGTCGAAGGGAGTCGACAAACTTTAGCTCCACGTTCTTGCCACGGTTGTTGGAGAGGGAGATGAGACTCCAGCGGTCAGAGTCATTACACACCTTCACCATCTTTTGCACATAGGCCTCCTGAAAACCCAAAAGTGAAGAGTCAGACTCAAAGTACTGATATGTCTCCTGCATCTCATGGTTTGTAAGGTTTAAATACGTGGATCCATGAGTGAAAATTGAAGTCAAAAGACACCTGAGTCCCTGGTAAAACAAGATTTTGTCTTTGTATGTAGTGTCATTCTATTTTCTATAATCTATCACTTGTAGAATTTCCAAAAGGCACTGCAGCATAATGAGAGCAAATAATAAGCAAAACTGAACTGGAATTATAAAGATTATTGACAAACCATTTCCTACAAAGAATACACCACTCAGTCACCCACTACTTTCTCTCTCTGTTGACTCCACCTCCTTGTTTTTCCTTCCTCTCGCAGCTCTAGTTTGGTGTTAGTTCCTGAAGCACTTCTGCCTATTTGCTCTTAAATGTACCCTAAACATGTTTGTCACACATGTTTGCTTTCATGGTTCAAGGTTGATAAATATTGGCAATAACAAGGAGATCATATGGATGCCTAAGACTTGAAAAACCAGTCGTAGTTTGAGTGGGATCAACAACTGTACATAAATGCTTTTAGCACCATGATAAAAATTATAGTATAATGATTGGGTAAGGATGCTGGTCTGTTGCTCATGATGTTTTGCTGATCACATCTGTTGGTGGGCCATTAGTAGCCTGGATAGTCTGTGGTATCCAGGTAACTGAGGGCCGACTGATTAATGTGGATCCGGCTCCAATTGGATTAGACAGAATCCTCTTTGAAACCAACCTTTTTACTATATAAGGCTCATATCTATGTTGGTTGGGGTGTATTTGAAGATCTAAATGTTGTTAAATAAAATATAAGAGATTATGCCAACAGAAAATGTGACCATTGACTGGGACATGCATAACTTCAGCAGTGAGAGATCTGTAATTACATGAGTGCGGATGGAAATGAGAGAAAGATGGAGATGCTAAGCAAACTTGCCTGGAAGGTTTGAAAGCCTGAAAAGGTTAGAGTCAAAATGTAAATTCTACTGAGCAAATATTACGATCAGTACAGGATATAACTGAATACATTACCTTTAAGGTCACTGGTGTGATCTTCTCTTTATTCACTCCCTCAGGCAAGAAGTCTAGAAGAGAGTCCAGGACTATGTCTTTCACTATCTGAAACTCCATCTCTCCTTTCAGCTCGGCGCAGAATATCAAGTCCAGATCTTTCCATCCCAGCCCGCTGTCCTCATGCAGGACGTAGCTCGCAGCGGAGCCGTTCAGGCGCACCTCCCGGACATGTATCCGCCTCTCCTCCATGCGGCTCCGGACCACCTTGACAATATCTCTCGGCTTCACCTCCAGGGTCGGGAAGCTCCAGCGACCGTGGATGGGGATGGAGCCGGTGAGGATGTTGTCCAGCCGCTGCACTTGCTCCCAGTTGAGCACGCTGAGGCTGATGCTGTCCCCGTCCGAGCCGCTGTTGGCCGCAGCGGACTCGTCCATGCTGATCAAGAGGGATGCGAACGACGGAACTTTGCGCTACCTGCCGTCCTGTAGAAAAGAATCGTTGAGACTGAACTGTATCATAACATCGAGATGCTGGAAGAGGAAAGTGCTTTACGCATGACGAAGGAGAAGTATCTGGGCGGCGTTAGGCTTGTCCTACTTCTCCTGCGCACCAGACAAACTCGATTCTCGAGCTTAGTCCTGCATCTGCTGGCCCGCTGCGCTCGGGCTCTATCGCCACCTCATGCGATTGTTCCCCACAGCATCAGTTTTTCATTACATGCCAAAGACTCACTGACCGATCCATCACATCAAAAGGAAAGCGTTTCGAATATTTACTTTGGCTCACTTTTACGCACGTATCACACAGCCAACAGCAACTTTTACGCATCGCCGTAAATGCTGACCCCCCCTCTGGGCTGCACACCTACTTTCAGAAAGCGGTGGATGGCTTCTTGTCTTTTACATTTTGGCCGTTTCTCCCTCGTTGTTGCTGCGTGATGCCACAGAGGTCCCGCTCCACAGCTGCTGGAGAAGTCGTTGTGCGTCCAGTCTGCGAAGCGCACGGGGCGGGTCGGTTTGACTGACAGTCCACACCTCCTAAAAGCTGCTGTCACTTCCCAAGCGGACTTTGAATGGCTGCGAGCCCGGAGACTGAGGCGTGTCTGGAGAATGGGCGGTGCAGGAGAACAGACAGAGTGTCGTGTTGGACGCTGAGCCTTAACCAAAAAATACGCTTTTCGCCCGGAGTTGACTTCTCCTGCGCCCCCTTGTTCTCCAAAACCACTTGTGTCAACACCTCTATTACTCCAGAGGTGCAGCCAACCTCCAAACCCCCTGTATCATGTGTGATCAATGAGAAAACCTACTCAACAACTGATCCAACACTGCAGTGAAGTTTAACTCACTTACAAATACAATACAAATCATACCAAATTATACAACTTTATTAATCCCAACAAATGCATTTTAGTTTGTACGTTTATAATAATCTGAACTAAACCTAAGTAAACTTTAGATTTTTATTTTCACTTTTTATTTCCACTTCTTCTTTCATTCTTTAAACTTTCTGTAATCTGGTGAAAGCTGGCACAACAATTTCCTTTGTGAAGTCTTATCCTATCTCATCTTATCTCTAAAAGAAGACCAATAAAAACAGTACACAGACATCAACCAATATAATAAAACACTTAAACACCATAAAATAGCCGTTAAGTTGCATTGAGGTAAAAGTGCAATTTATTAAAAGTGTGCAGCTCATTTGAGTCAACTATAGAAGCCCAAATCAGCAAGTTTCTAATAGTAGGAGTGAAGAAGTCTGTTTTTACCAGGTATAGTCATGTTTTAAAATGAATGGTATGATGTAGGTTTTGTGTGAACATGAATACTGAGAACTAAGTTATTTATAATTCACTCTGGATACCATTAAAACAAATAAAGAAAGACAAATTATTATTTTAGTCTTACATTAGAGTTTCTCAGAAGCCTCATCATTCCCCAGTGAGGCTGAGGAAAGCAGTGTACATAACCCCAATGCCCTCTAGGGGTGGTTTTTCACCCATTCATTATGTCTATAGCAACTCTTTAGTCTGTACAACATTGCAGCAGAATGGCAGGAAACTTTTTTAAGCACACAACCTGTATGCAGAGCTCTATAAAGTCTCATGTGTGCTTACTGATCGATTTAAAACAGTGAGACTTTTCTGCTCACTTAACACCTCTGATATGCAGCATGCACAGTAAGCTGTCTGTCAGTATGTAGGGTATAGGCCACAGGGTCTGTGCGGGTTAGCTGCCGCGTAGGATCTATAAGCGTAGTGCTTGGCATGTACATGTATATCTGCGTCACTGCAGACGAGCCCATAAACCAGCTTACCACAGATTACCCCGTATATGCAGTGACAAACGTTCATGCAGACACACACAGACATGGGTGAAGGGACTCATGCATGTTCATTCACACCTCTGTAGATTATGTGCTGCGTCTGCCATTACAAGTTAGTGTTATATGCAACTCACAATGAACCAGTAAAAAGAATGTGTGTAACAAGTACAGATGTTGTCGTGTGCTACTAACCCTGTATGGAAGTGATGCTAGTGTTGTGGCAACAAACTAGCCTCCCCTAGAAACTGATGATTTGCATATAGTGCATGTCAGCATTTTACTTGATGGACATTTCACAGTAAAATATTACCAAATTGCTGACCCTTAAGCTAGCTATGGTTCAGACATCACAGTGGAAATCACTTCTTCTTTGTAGAGAGGCGAAGACAAAGTGATTTGTAAAAAAAAAAATACAAAAAAAATAATGTGGGTGAAACTAAAAGAAGAATGGATACATAGATTTGCATAATTGCTGATGCCTAATTCGGCATTTTCTGCAGTATCGGAGGCATTTCTGATGCTGGTATCAGTATCAGAACATTTCTAGTAACAAGCTAAGCTTTAAAGCTTTGAAAGACACAATTGTCAAACAATTGTCTTATAAATGTTTGAATAAGCTGGTGGAATAACTGAAATGCAGTGCAACCAAGTGGTAGAGTTATCTGTGAAGAAGCCTTCTCAAATCATGTCATGTTTTAAAGCCTGTGATGTATAGCTAGGTATGTACATTTCTGCTGTATCTCATGACTATMMCTGTCAAGCACTTGAACCATATGGGCACAGACATCACATGATTTCACATACATGTACTGTATAATTTCATAAGTTGTCATGAGGCCTTCAGCTTCACTGTAAATAATTTCAGCATAGATGGGAGTCATGTGTAGTGTGTGGGAGTGTTGCTTCTTATCTGTGAGTCATTTGGGTAAACAGTGGTCAATGCCACATCCACTTAGTGTTAGCAACAAACAAAAGTCAAACAACGGATGATTCAAAATTATATTATCCCAGCAAACATTTTAACTTGGAGAGCAATGAACTACCAATCAACATGTGTAATGATTCAAATGATGATGCGGGACGTTACCTGACCCCTGGTGGACGTTCTTTCTGGACATTCTGCTGATAAACATGGCGGAACCGTAAACAATTTTATATGCACAGTGTGCTTTCACCTGATTTTCACATCTTGAGTCCAGATCATTGATTTATTATTCCACATATTCTAAAATGGTGCAATGAAAACTTGAAACTTTATTCAACTCACAGACAACATTGTGACATTTCCTGATTGCAGACAATGCAGCTCCGTAGGTTCGCACAAGGCAGCATGTCAGTCACATCTGTCACTTTCCCCATTCACCAACTGGCTCAGTGTCAGGCTTACTGCCGTGGATACTTACCACGAAGCAGCGACTTACCTGATCTCTGACCTGTGAAGTGGATGACACCGGCTTGGTATCCAATGTGTGACGGCATCAGAGGGGCTGGCGAGGGGATTGTCAGACAGACCTTTTGTCAGGCTGATGAACCAATCGTCACACATATAGACACATTTTTGTGTTTGAATACATCCATCACTCTTTATTTATCATGAAGCTCTGTGTGTGTGTTAATTTGTGTATTTTCTTTGGGGAGACCCCGCTCCACTTATAGAGCCAACTAAAACCACAAGTCAGAAAGTCAGACATATTCAGGCAACACATCATGTGCACATCTAAAGCAACTCACCTTCACCCTGCAAACTTTGCTATCAATCCTTTATTCCCCCTCTCCATCTTATGCTTCTCTTCCATTTTTTTTGCTCATCCTCTCTTCAATCCCCTTCTCTGCCATTCCTACATGTGGAAGTTCATTAAGAGATTACAATGAATTTGTTAGCTGAACAGGCCTCCACTCTCCTCCTCTTAACCTTTACCCAACTCACTCCCTTAACACTGTTTACTATTTTTACTCTTTGGATTTCTATTAGTAGGAAAAAAATCCACCTTTGATATATGTTGTCCCAACATGCAATTCTCACTTGGCTCTCCTACCGAGTATTTATCCCTACTTTCTCCACTGGTGTATTTTAAGGGAGTTTTCTGGAAGCTGGTGAAAGGAGAACTCAGGGACTCAGTTGGGGGTTTTTGGTGCAAATTCTTTAATTATCAGTTACTGTAAACACCCTGTGGCATCATGTCTAAAAACAATCAAGCTAATATAAGCTAAATTATGTTTTTAAAGTCCATGTGATATGTGAGGATGATGCTTACATTAGCTTGTTAAGATTTAGCTTGTTTAATTTGGCAGTTTGGCTTTAACATTGAGTGTATGAGCTATAAAACTTTGTTTTAAGAAGGAGTATTTGTCCCCTTATGGAAAAAAAAAGAATATTTTTTGGTTAAGAATTTTGATTGACTTAGCATTGCTTGGCTAGCTTGATTGAAGATTGGGCCTTGTTTGATAAGTTTGGTTTGATCTGGTGGTTGCACGGGAAGTTTTGAAGTTAGCATAATTGAATATTTGTATTTTCTAACTTCTCTTTTAATGCTGGAAGTTTTTTATAATGCAACAACCAAGACAATTTACAGGGACTCCCCACCAGGCCCCATAAAGCCATTCCAACCCCCGACACCATCTTCAAATATCTAATTGCTTTAATACAAACAGAAAAAAACATTGTGTAAATGTTCCTTGCTTTTATACATATGTTGCTATAAGGGACTGTGGTGAGCACATTGTCTTCAGTTGTGTTGTGTTGTGGTTGTGGTGTCTAGCTTCTAGTGTGAAAAAATTGTCTTCAACTGTTGAACTGTGATCTTTAACAAAACACTCTGGAATCAGCTGCGAGAAATTAGCAACCTTCTTGTTCCCACTTCAGTGCATGAAATTCACATTGTCTGCATGAATCCAGCCCGTGGAGCTTTGACACATAGCCTACAGTACATGTGGATGTGAAGGTCACGGTGGAGCCGGCGGTACTGTACCCAGGCAAAGTATAACTTCAACTGTGTCTCCAATCAACCTTCCCAGTCAACCTTGACGAGTGCACTCAGTACTATAAGCCCCCACTAAACTCTTGCACAGCCACTAATGAGATTCGCTGACATGCCCTGCGCTGTAAGCCATGCTGCAGCGATCCTAGAAGGTCTTCCTGGTTTGAGTATTTTAATGGAAAATATAAATTATAAAGGACTGTTGTGGTAAAATGAAGACAGAACAGTGGAATTAATATCAAACTTGTGCAGGGCTGTGGTTGCAGGAAAATGTACACACTGTTTGTTATAACCTAAAAAAAGACCCACACATATGCAGACACAAATGTTTATTAAAGGTTCCATGCAAAGATCATAAACTTGTGTTTGATGTTTACAAGTCTTCGATCATTGACTAACAAAGACATTGGTTTAAATACCCTATTTACTGAACTGAACTCTGTTAATGAAGCTCCAGAGATTCCTCCAGTCCTCCGGCTCAATATTGTGTCAATATTGTCCTATTTTAACAAACTGTTCTACTTGTCTTGACGGCAACAAACTTCTCTAACAAAATAAACAGGAAGTGAATCACCTGATCTGTGACTCAGCTTCCTATCTGATACTGTGGTCAGAGATGTCGAAACCACAATCATATTCATGTGTCTTGTCTGAACAAGCATACCTCCTTTGTACGGA